GGATCAAAAGGGCATTGGGCTCATGTATGTCGAACCCCTGAACATCTTTGTAAGTTGTACAAAGGGAAAAGGGAAGGAAGTAAATCTTACTGATCACTTTGAGGGTACATTGTACCTCGAAGCTTCCGACTTTATAAACGATGTCGACGAGACCGCTCATGCGGATAACTGAAATGCTTGTAGTGAGACTACTAGTCTCCAGTAATGCTATTGTATAATTATTATGTATTTCAGTTGTTCTAAAATAATGTTGTTTCTGAAAAATGAACTGATGTATAATTATTATATGTTTTCAACATCAATAATATTTACTTATATTTTTATGTTAATTACAGAAATGGATCAAGATTCAAACAAAACGATAGCAAGGGAAAATATCAAAGAAATTTGTATACCAGATAGTGGAACAACGCACACTATTCTGAGACATCAGAGATTTTTCTCTGAATTAAAACCGACAAAAATTATTGTCAATACAATATCGGGTCCTACGGATTTGATTGAAGGAAGTGGCAAAGCAAATTTTAAATTGCCTAATGGAACAAAGTTTTCCATAAATAATGCCTTATATTCTCCGAATTCTAAGAGGAATTTGTTGAGTTTCAAACACATATACCTTCAAGGATATGAAACTCAGTCTGCAACTGAGGATGGAAAAAAGTATATGTATATAACTTCTAATAAATCTGGAAAAAGACATGTCTTGGAAAGATTTCCAGAACTTCCTTCTGGTTTGCATCATACCTATATAGATGCCATAGAGTCAAACCTTGTGATCAAAAGAAATCTTGAAGATTTCGTACTATGGCATGATCGCCTTGGTCACCCAGGCACCACAATGATGCGAAAAATCATAGAGAGCTCACATGGTCACTCATTGAAAAATCATGAGTTGAAACATGGAAATAAAATGACATGTGCAGCGTGTTCTCTTGGAAAGTTGATCATAAGGCCATCGCCAACCAAAATTGATAAAGAATCACCAAAGTTCCTTGAACGAATTCAAGGCGATATTTGTGGACCGATACATCCACCATGTGGACCATTCCACTATTTTATGGTAATGATTGACGCATCTAGCAGATGGTCACATGTTTGTCTATTGTCATCTCGAAATTTGGCATTTGCGAGATTTATAACTCAGATAATCAAATTAAGAGCTCAGTTCTCTGATTATTCCATTAAGAGGGTTAGACTAGACAACGCTGGTGAATTCACATCCCAAGCATTCAATGATTATTGTATGGTAACAGGAATTGAAGTTGAACATCCTGTAGCTCATGTTCATACACAAAATGGCTTGGCGGAATCATTAATTAAACGTCTGCAATTGATTGCAAGACCATTGATCATGAGATCAAAACTTCCAACCTTTGTATGGGGACATGCCATTTTTTATGCAGAAGCACTTATTCGGATAAGACCAAGTGCATACCATAAATACTCCCCACTACAGTTAGCATTTGGTCGAGAACCAAATATATCTCATCTAAGAATTTTTGGTTGTGCTGGTGTATGTGCCTATAGCACCACCACAACGTACAAAGATGGGACCACAAAGAAGGTTGGGAATATATATTGGCTGTGATTCTCCATCAATTATAAGATACCTAGAACCGCAGACTAGTGATATCTTTACGGCACGATTTGCCGATTGTCACTTTGATGAGAAAGTATTTCCGGTTCTAGGGGAGAAAATAAGCAAGTAGGAAAAGAAATCAAATGGTGTGTACCATCCCTGTTACACCTTGATCCTCCTACAAAACAGTCAGAAATTGAAGTTCGACGAATTGTGCATTTGCAAAGTATAGCAAATCAACTTCCCGATGCTTTTGCAGATACCAAAACGGTAACTAAATCATATATACCAGCTGCAAATGTTCCTGCTCGAATTAAAATACCACAAGAACGTGGAGGAGCAGATGATACACGTGAGTCTAAAACACGCTTGAAACGTGGTAGACCAGTTGGTGCTAAGGATAAAAATCCTAGAAAACGAAAGGAAGTTGAAAAGCATGATATTCCCAAAATAGTAGAAAGCATTTTGGAAGAAACGAATCATGAGTCTAATGACAATGATGAGCATCATGAGCCTGAAAGGAAATCATGAGATTTCTATCAACTATATCCATAATGGAAAGATCTGGGATCAAAATAAAATGGATGATGTTAATGACGTTTTCTCATACGTCAAAGGAAATTGATGAGGAAAACGAGGATCCAGAACCAAAGTCTGTATATGAATGTCAAAAGAGACATGACTGGATAAAATGGAAAGATGCAATACAAGTCAAACTTGATTCGCTCAATAAGCGAAATGTATTCGGATCTATTGTACTCACACCTGAAGATGTGAGACCGGTTGGATACAAATGGGTTTTCGTTAGAAAACGAAATAAGAAAAATGAAATTACGAGATACAAGGCTCGTCTCGTAGCTCAGGGATTTTCTCAAAGACCCGGGATTGATTATGAGGAAACATATTCCCCTGTTATGGATGCTATAACGTTTAGATTTCTGATGAGTCTAGCAGCTGGCGAAAATCTAGAGATGCGTCTCATGGATGTCGTTACAGCATATTTATATGGATCATTAGATACAGATATCTATATGAGAGTTCCAGATGGGTTTAATATGCCAAAAGCATTAAAATCTAAATCCAAAGAGTTGTGTGCAATAAAATTGCAGAGATCATTATATGGGTTAAAGCAATCTGGACGAATGTGGTATAATCGTCTCAGTGAGCACTTAACGAAAGAAGGATATGTGAACGATCCTATATGCCCATGTGGTTTCATAAAGAAAACAAATTCCGGATTTGTGATAATCGCGGTATATGTTGATGATCTAAACATAATCGGGACTCAAGCAGAAATACAGAAAGCAACAAACTATTTAAAAGGGGAATTTGAGATGAAAGATCTCGGACAAACAAAATTTTGTCTTGGCCTACAAATTGAACATACTCAAAAGGGTATATTTGTACATCAATCCACATACACCAAAAGAGTGTTAAAACACTTTAATATGGATAAGGCAACTCCTCTCAGTACTCCAATGGTCGTTAGATCACTTAATGTTGAGAGTGATCCATTCAGACCACCTGAAGAGAATGAAGAGATACTCGGTCCTGAAGTACCGTATCTAAGTGCAATTGGAGCCCTTATGTATCTTGCAAATTGCACCCGACCTGATATATCATTTTCAGTCAATCTTCTGGCTAGATTTAGTTCATCTCCTACACGAAGACATTGGAATGGGATTAAACATGTCTTTCGTTATCTTCGAGGGACTATTGATTTAGGGTTATTTTATCCTAAAAATATAAATGGTCAAATGATTGGTTTTGCAGATGCATGATATTTATCAGATCCACACAAAGCTCGATCCCAAACAGGATACGTATTCACGATTGGAGGTACTGCTATATCATAGTGTTCTTAGAAGTAGACGCTTGTAGCTACTTCTTCAAATCATGCTGAAATCATCGCACTCCATGAAGCGAGTAGAGAATGCGTGTGGCTACGATCAATAAGTCGACACATTCAAACGAGTAGTGGAATTCGTCTGAATACGGAACCAACTATCTTGTATGAAGACAATGCTGCATGTGTTGCTCAGACAAAGAAAGGATATATCAAAGCGATAGAACCAAACATATCCCTCCAAAGTTCTTTTCATACACCCAAGAGCTCGTGAAGAATAAAGACATTGAAGTAAGATATGTCCGATCATCCGAGAATTCTGCGGATCTCTTCACAAAATCATTGCCCACCTCTATGTTCAGGAAACATGTTCATAACATTGGAATGCGTCGTCAACAAGACTTGTAAGTTATGATCCTGATCATTCGAGGGGGAGCTTGCGCGGTTGTACTCTTTTTACCTACTATGGTTTTTTCCACCGGGTTTTCCTAGAAAGGTTTTTAACGAGCCAACAGAAGACATTACGCTAGAGACATAGTGACACTGGTCTCCAAGGGGGAGTGTTATAAAAGTCGTGAAAAGGAGGAATCGTAAAGTCGCAAAAAGATGCGTGCATGGGTTAAACGTTTCGTTGTTTATTAATTTATGTGGAGCCCACCGTCACTATGCACGCATAGTAATTTACTTTTTTACACCTATATAAACGAATGAATTCGTTCGATGTAAAATCACAATTCATTACTTCAATTACAAGAGAAGTAATAATCTCTCTCCCTCTTATCTCTTTATTTTCAGTATCCCGATCCTTATGCGGGTATAAATTCTTTCTCCATTATTTATATTTATATACACCATAAAATAAAGTAATTATTTATAACAGACCGCTTATTAAAGAAAGTGGACTCCTCAGTTTGGTACGAAATCTACATTTTCCTTATCAGACAGAGTTTGGCAACTCTATTTATCAATGGACATAGTCAACCTATATTGGCTTTAAATCCCGCAAGATATAGCAATGCCATACAATTCCAACCTCTCTATTTAACACACAATTTTCCACAACATAAAGTTTTTGGTTAACCAAAACGTTCCAGTTCATACAATTTTAAGGTAAATTCATTTACATATCTTGATTATTTTGCTTTCTTTTAGCACCATCTTATCTTCTTCCGTTATTTTCGGAAAAATCTTGCAAATTCTTTGGTTTTTGTATATTTTTTGGTTGTTTATAGCAAAGAATATGACAAATTAAATAGTAACACTCTATTCCAATTTTGAAAAAAGTGAAATTGATAGATTTGTTTTGATTCTTTACAAATAAAAAATATCAAATAGTATTTTATAAAAAGGATACAAGAATTTTAATTGGCACCATTATATGTCGACCAAGTACGGTCCACGGATTCAAAGTTGTGTCGGGTCCTATGAAATTTTGTTGTTGTGCTTACTTTTAGTCGCATGTGAATTTTTAAGCTAATTAAATCAAGGACACAATTCCAAAAACGGTGTCGTTTTCGGGTTAAAAATTGAATCTTCTAAATTAAATTGTATGAAGAAAGCTGCTTAAAGCTTTTTGGTTTTTCTTCTTCTGCACCTAAATATACGCCCAGAAAATTCCTCTGGTCACCAAACCAAACCAAAACCTACGCTTTCTTTGAAAATTCTGAAAGGAAACGATAAGGGTTTCGATAAAAATCATTCCTTTTTGACTCAAAAGACGCGTTTCTCACATTTTTTGGCGTTTCTTCTCTGGGTTTGTTTTGTCTCTGGACAAAGACGATCACGGGTTTGTACCTCTTCGTGTGTACGCGTGTGTCTTGGATTTTGCGAAGAGGGTTTGGAGTATCGTTTTGTTTGTGTGGATACGAAGCGATTTTCTCGTGTTCTTCACTTGTTTGAAGGATCTCGTTGTGCTTTGATTGATCCCAGGTTCGTTATTGATTATAAATTTGATTCCTTTTTCTTGTTTCATCGAGAAAATTTGGACTATTTGAGGAATTTTTAGCCTATGCGTTTGGAGAATTGTCATTTCTGTACCATTTGCTTCTCTTTGATGTTGAAACATTGGCTCTTTGAGTTTAGTCTCTCATGAATGCTTTGATTGATTTCTTTATTGTTCTTTAATTGAAGGTGATAATTGTTTTTTTTTTGTTTCTGTCTTGCAATCTAAGTAAAGTGTTCTGTTTTTTTTAGTAGACGACTTGTAATTTCATGTTCTGTGATTGATTGATTGTTTTGCTGCTAGTTTTGGGGGAGTTTGTTTTGCTTTTTTCGAAGGGGAAGCACATGGTTTCTTGCTTGTTGATAGCATTGCTTGAAATTGTGACCATCTTCTATGGGAATGATCTAATTGTTTGTTTTGACTTATAGATATATATATATATATATATATATATATATAAATATATATTTCTATTCAATACTTTGGTATTGAATGGTTGGTTTAGAAGCATTATATTGTATTCGTCTGTGTAGGTTCTACGACAGAGACTTACTTTTTTGACAAAGAATTTTTTAAAGTGTGGATGATGACCAGATTTTCCATTTAAATTGTGGTCCTAGTCTGTTTGTTCATGTGTGTCTTCTTCTTCTTGGCATTGGATCTTATTTAAAAGTCTCATTTTTCTTCTCTAGATTACGACTCGCGGTGTTACGCATAGCAGGTTCCTGGCTTCTCTACTGTCAGGAGGGGCCTTGAGTCTTTGGAGTTACCACAGTAGAGAGAAACCCAGTGGGTGACTTTTGAAACCCCTTCTTTATCGAGTGCTACACATTTTCGCTGTGAAGCTACAATCAGAAGACATGGGAATATTTTCGCGCAGGTCAAGATCTTGTCTCTCTCTTTTTGACGAATGTGGTTGGTCTTTCAAGAGGTGCAGAGAACCTTAGTCAAATTTTGTTCTTGTTATTTCAGTTCAATTAGTAGGAAATCAAAAGATGGAATGAAGATCATCGCAACAGCATTTTTTGGAGTAACTTTCGGCTTTCTGATTGGAATATCTTTTCCATCTTTATCAATCACTAAGGTTGTAGAATCAACCCTTATCTTCCTATGTCTGTGTTTGATTAGATTTGTTCCCTTGTCATCATTGGAAGATTTTGTTTTCATATTTCAGGTGAGTCTCCCAACAAACTTTCTTCCTTCAAACGATCTCTCATCTATCGAGGAAAAGGGTTCGAAAATTGCAACTCCAGAAAGTCATAAAGCTTGGTCATCATCAAAGGGTAACGATAGCAGCTCATCAGTTCCAATCGACAAATCAAAGGCATGCTTCTACCCCTTATTTTATTTATGACTTGGAATGTTTTGGCACTTTACATTATTTAGACAAGTTTGGTCTACCCCTACCGATTCTTACTTTAATTTGCAACTGGGATTTATCTTCAAGGACGGAAGACTAAAAGTCTAAGGTCTCCTTAATGATATGAGAAATGTTACGTCTGATTAGTTTTGTACTCCAAAACATGCGATACGTGTTAATGAATAAGGGAGATATCAAATTAATAGAGAATTGCTTTGTGGTTTTACATAGTTTAGTCATTTAGATTTCACCTTGTTAACCTTATCTTTCTGTGTTTCATGATTAATGGTCTTGAATCTGTCCATGTTTTCATGTTTCATTTCTGAATTTGCTGCAGATCTGGGTTCCTTCAAATCCTCGTGGTGCTGAAATGTTGCCACCGGGTATGGTTGCTGCTGAATCAGACTTCTATTTGCGCAGATTATGGGGGTTACCGCAGGAGGTGTGTGCTCAAACCATTCATTTCTAATATCATCAAAACCATTCTTTTAGCTGCATTGCTTGATATACAGAAGTAATGTAATTTTTTATACCTTATTTTCTTCCTCAGGATTTGACCAGTGAACCAAGATACCTCGCAACATTTACAGTGGGTATTAATCAGAAAGCAAATATTGATGCTTGTGTCAAGAAGGTTGGTTCATTCCTTTGTTTGATGTTTGACTTCACATCATAAATTATTTATCGTCTTCTCAACAGTTTTCAGAAAACTTCACTATTGTCCTGTTTCACTATGACGGCCAAGTAACCGAGTGGGATGAGTTTGAATGGTCGAAGACTGCTATACACATTAGCGTGCGAAAGCAGACAAAATGGTATCAACAGCTTATCAACCACTCTTGATTATTTATGGTAGAAAATATTCTGGTGATGTTTATGACTACTGACTCTCTTGGCACCTGGAAATATGTTAGGTGGTATGCAAAAAGGTTTTTGCACCCTGATATTGTAGCACGATATGATTATATCTTCATCTGGGATGAAGACCTTGGGGTCGAGCATTTTAACGCAGAAGAGTAAGTTGCTTTAAACCTTTACATAAGTTCTTTCCCTTTTTCTTCTTGTTATCATATGAAAAGACAGTTTCCATACATTTCATTGATCTGTTGTGATTATCTTGATTATTTGTTTCCAGGTACATAAAGATGGTGAAGAAGCATGGCCTGGAGATTTCCCAACCTGGCTTGGAACCAAACCAGGGATTAACGTGGCAGATGACAAAGAGAAGAGGAGATATGGAAGTCCATAAGTATGTTGGACAAAAATCCCTTAGATTATGGCCATGTTTGGTTTTATGTATAAATGATCTTTACAAAATTATGGGCTTTGTATCTTATCAGGATAACAGAAGAAAGACCTGGATGGTGCTCAGATCCTCATCTCCCTCCATGTGCTGCGTATGTAGAAGCCTTTATTTTTACCCGTTTTGAGTTGGTTTTTCCATATAACAGAAACTAACCAGTCTCGAACTTTTGTGTCATTGCCTAATGCAGATTCGTTGAGATCATGGCTCCTGTATTTTCAAGAAACGCCTGGCGATGTGTGTGGCACGTGATCCAGGTTCCTTACTTCATCATCTTTTTCATTCTTCATTCATCTTCCCTAAATCTCTCTTCTTGCCAGCCTTACTAAGATGCCTACTTTAACTGTTAACAGAATGATTTGGTTCACGGATGGGGCCTTGACTTTGCACTCAGAAGATGTGTTGAGGTAAGAAAAGAGACTTGCAGTTGGTTGTCTGTCACGCAAAAGACAGAGTTGCTTGGTTTAATTATATCGTTTGTTATTTGACGAAACTGAATATATTTTACACCGAAATGCAGCCTGCACATGAGAAGATAGGAGTAGTAGATTCTCAGTGGGTAGTTCATCAATCTTTTCCTTCCCTTGGCAATCAAGTAAACCCCATAGAACTCTCTCTTCTCGATCTGACATTAACTTCTTCGCTCAGAAATCTGATTCTCTTTCGCTTGATGTAGGGTGAGGCAACGGACGGGAAAGCGCCATGGCAAGGGGTAACAAAGCTTTTTATCTCCCTCTCTCTCTCTCGGGCTTATAATTATGTCTAACTTGTGAAACAAGTAACTTCAATTTTGTTTTGTTATGTGGTTTTGCAGGTAAGAGATAGATGCAAAAAGGAATGGACAATGTTCCAGAGTAGAATGGCTAACGCAGAGAAGGATTATTTCAAATCCTTACAAGTAGAAGGCTCCTCAAATTCAACAGCAACAACTATTTAAAATAGGAGAGAACTTTAAGTAGCCACAAGCTGACAGATTCAGTTTTACTAGTGCGATCTTGCATTTACATATAGAGTTCTGTATATGTTACCCATCACTACAAAATCATCACCACCTTCCATCGAATAAAACAAAAAAGATGAATGTTTTGATCCAGTATAAAGCACTTGAGTATATCAAGATCCATTATAAAAAAAAACTTGTGCATCTAGTGGCATGCGAAGTATACAATGAACTGATGAAGATTGTGGGTTTTACTTAATCTACAAGTAATTCTGAACTGGTATGCCGTGTTATGTTTTCATGGATCAGTGGAGTCACACGTGTCAGTTTCTTGGCGACAGGAACTTGAGAAGCTTTCCACAAAGCACTTGCTTAGAACCACGTGTCGGAGACTTTCGTGAAACAGTCACAATCATGTGTTGGTCTAGTACCTTACGCGTGATACCACGCGTTTAGACCGATAGCTAAAAGCCAGAGAGGATTAGACATAAGTGGCTAGATTAACATTAAGAAACTTTCTCATTTACTCTCTTTAAGCTCTTGAAAGATCTCAAATTCTCGAAGAGGGCCAAAGACTCTAGAAACAGAAAACAGTATCAGTAGCAAGAAGAATGGGTCTTTCTCATTACCCAACAGCGTCTGAAGGAGTAGTGCCAATGCTGGTGATGAACACAGTTGTTTCAGTGTCTGTCTTTAAGAACATGGTAAGATCTGTTCTTAACATGGTGAGCTCTGAGACCAATGAGGCAAAGAACAAAGAGGACGACCAAGCTCATGAGGATTCAAAAAGAAGAAGAAGAATCTCTGTAACACACTTTGGATCTGCTGAGAACAGAGGAAGCAAGCACGAGAGAGAAGCTATGGAGTGTTGTGTGTGTCTGTGTGGGTTTAAAGAGGAGGAAGAGGTGAGTGAGTTAGTGTCCTGCAAGCATTACTTTCACACTGCTTGCCTAGATAAATGGTTTAGTAATGACCACACCACTTGTCCTCTCTGCAGATCCATTCTTTAGTTAAGAATCATACTCTACTTTCCTTTGATGGCTTTTCACCATTTTTTTAATGTTTTCTAGTTTCTATTTTGGGAAACTCGTATTCTGTTGTGTCCACTTTCTGGGTTTTGGAACTCGTATTTTAAACTAATAAAAGTGCTTTGAATATAGCTGTGCCCTGCCCCTGATAGTATGTAATTCATATTAACCACTGTATCATGTTTTGTTACACAACCATATTAAAGTAGATGTGACAATTACAACACAATCACATATATTACAGAATCTCTACGCTCTTAAGTGAACACTTATTAGTTTTCAAGAAAAAACTTATTATTATTTTTTTCAAGAAGAAACTTAGATCATACAATTATTTAATTTCCTATGCTTTAGATTGATGAAATTCTCTGGTTCTTTGTCAACATCCTCTTCTTTTGGGATATGCTCAAATAAACCTCAAGCTTATTTTCTCAAGGAGATCGAGTGTAGTATTTAAGGGTCGGATTCACAAAACTTTTTTGTTTACACAATAAGCTAACCGTTTTAAAATTAAGCTAAATAAATATGAGAAAATTAAAACAAGAAAAATAATTAAATTGATTTAGATTCAGATGGATTATTGCGTCAAGCTTAGGGAATTTCTCACAAGATATATAAACAGTAGATCTAGCAGTTAATTAGGATAATTAGCGAACGTTCTACAACTCAAATCACGAAACTATAATCAACCAACTCTCGTCTGTATTGACTAACTAAGCGTAATAGCAGGAAGTTCAACTCTCATTTGTAAACTCCTAAAATTAAACAAGCATTAAATCATGTTTGATATGTTCACATGAATACCTAGACCAACTCTCGTCTGAATATAGTTATTTATGCTCACCTAAAATAGTGAAGGTAATAAGCGCACTTTCGTGTCTAACCTATTATCCTAAGATCAAGTTCTAGTTAGCTACTATAGAACTAGTATTAAGAACAATCAAAAGTGAAGAGCTCTATATATTTATCCTAATAGGTTATCGATCTATTTAATTCATCTAAATCCCTAATGAGAATCTCTAAACCTAACAAGAGAATAACTCAGACATTGTCATAGAAACAGAAAACATGTTTGAATAAGGTTGCATAAAGTAATCAAAAGAAGAATAGAGTTAGAAAAGATCTTCTCTCTTCAGGGTTTTGAAATATCTGAAAATAAGCTATCTCCAATTATCTTCCAAAGGGTTCAAGCTCTCAGAAAAATACAAAGCAAAAAAGCAAGATGCAAGATAGGTCTAAACAATGACCCTAAAATCTATTTATAATGGCTCAAAAACGTGTAGAGACTAATAATGTAAATGGAGAAGTCTTCTGGACAATTCTGGAATCTTCAAAACTTGTTAAATCTCGAGACTTCTGTTGGGCCGCGAACGGTGTTGACCGACACCAGGGGGTGTTGATCGACACTGATGTCATGGTCTGACTCCAAATTCGTCTCTTCAGCTTTTATTCTCCGGTTTCGCTCCAAAGTGCTCTCTTATCTCTAAATGTATCCCGATCACGAAAATACCTGAAATGGCTCTAAAAAGACTCTAGAAATAATATAAACACTCTAAAACCGATACATATATCATGGTTAAAAACCGTAAAATCCATGATATATCATTTTGCCTTCCTCTCACTCTTCACCTTCCTCATATGATATGATGACATCTTCATCACGTCATGACTCAATGTGATGATGATTTTGAGTTTTATGCTGAAGGAAGGTCTCGAGTACCAATGTTTCTATTGAGAGTCTTGTTACTTGGTATACATATAATCATAAATTATCAGAGGGATTATATCTAGGGTTCTGTGCAAAAAACTTTTCAACTCGTCTATTTTTGTAATTTTACATTTTATTTACGAAAAATGTAGATTAATTCTACGAAGTCCTAAATAATACGCAATGTAACCCTTATTCGCTATCGTCAAGTTCGTAAAATTTTAACAAATAATATGTTAAATCTAAGCCCTCGCGATGCAGCGTTCAACTTTACTTTTAGAATTTTAAGAAATTAATGTATATGACCAGGAAAAACGTTTACAATATATGTATAAGAGTTGTATTGCGTATTATTTAGATTTCGTAGGATTAATCTGTATTTTTTGGAGATAGAGAATAAAGTTGCGAAAATGGACGAACTGGAGGTTTTTTTTTGCACAAAAACATGTTTAGTATTAGAGTCTTAAGGACTAAGCTGAATCTGATACCTTTTCTTCCTTTAGATTATTCAACTTTTGGCCTATGTTCCTTGGACCATTAAATATAGAGTTATTTACAAAAAAAGTATCAGAACCCAGATGCCCTTCGGAAATAGGCACTCGACGATATGCTGTTCTGAAATAGGCACTCAAACAGTTCTCTCTCCTGTCAAAAAGACGCTTATGTCCTATCTTTGATGATGTCATCGCAAGGGTTTTTAACGTTTTGAGCAAATATATCTTTTATTTATGGTGGAAAAAAAAACAGATTTGAAATAATATATTGACAAAATATTCATCTTTTACTATGGAAAAATACAGAGATCGTGAATAAAACAAATATGTAAATGATGGACGTACTATAAATGTCTTTTTTATGTGTAAGTAATTTTTTTTATAACGTTAAAAAAATTATAAAACTATTTGAAATTTGTAATAAGTTTTTTTTCTTTTGCATAATTCCTTAATCGAATTGGGTAAACCCATCTCTCGGCTATGATTTAGCTTTTTTTATTTATTTATAATATTATCATTTGGTAAAAGAGTTACTATAGTTACATTATTGTGTTAAATTTTCTCGTTTTTTGTTTTTTATTAATTGTGTGCCGTAAATAAATTGGTTTGGGTTCACCAATTTTTGACTACGGTTTAGTAATTTTTCCCATTTTTGATATTAGCCATCTCGTAAGGTGATTAATGCATTATCGTTGAGCGGATTTGTTTTTTTTCTCATTTAGAATATTGCAATCTCATAAAATCGTTAATGAATTGTGTTTGGGTTCCCTTTTTACAACTTAGGGTTTAGATATTATGTATAGATGATATACAGTAAAAGAAAGTGTGGATTCACTAGTCTTCAACTAGGGTTTAAATTTTTTGTTCTTTTATATTATTGTTAGAACATTGTGTTTGTATTTTTGAGTTACTATTAAGAGTTTATCTTCTTCTTTTTTATTGATTTCCAATTCTAATCCTAGGGTATAGCATTTTCACTTTTTATATATTTTCGTTTTCTTGCTCGCTATATACATAGCATACTGTCGTTGAATTGGTTTGGGTTTAGTCGTCCAAATATAGGGTATAGTGTTTTAACTCCTTTAAATTTTTAACAAAATTTCACTTTTACACTTTGTCGTTTAACGGTTTGGATTTACGTTTTACTAGCCGTTAATAAGGATTGAGCGTTTTTTCTACTATAAATTTAAAGTATGTTTTTTTTTAGAGAAAATCTAATTAATATCATTAAAACATATATGTTGTTGTCTAAACCGAAGTTTTTTTTTTTTTTTTAATTACTAAGAAGTTTTCGATTTAGGTCCGTATATCCTCTTAGAACAGAGACCAGAAGCATTTTATATGTTCTTCTCCCAAATACTAAAACGAGTTTTTATAAAATATAAGATATGATTTTCCACCGTCTGTAACATAATTGTGTATTTAACTTTTAAAAGATAAGTCATTAACAATTTTTGTGAACAAAACTTAACTCTGACTTTTGTCCATGATGATTTGTGGAGAATCCTTGCATGTTGACGGGTTTCTGTATTGGAAACTAGAATTTATCAAACAAAAAAAAAAAAAATCATACTACCCACGTCATCTGATATTTGCACCCATATGAAGAGGGGTGAAATGGTCATGAACAGAGTCTTTTACACATATATTAAACGCCAACTTGGCAAAGTGCCTAAATCTGAAGTTCTTAAGCAAATAATGCCTATTTTCATAAGTCTCTCTTAAATATATAGACGCACATGTCTATTGTTGTATATATACCATTATGGACCATTCAACAAGAAGGAATATTGAAAATTTGAAGATGCGTGGGCCAATGGATTTTAGAGGCTAAGGTATATATGCCCATATGAACAAACAGAAAACGGTAAAGGGCAGTTACTGTTGGTTATTCGATCGAACTAGATACCTATAACAATAATGGATCAAATATGGCTTGTTTTGACCGCAACTTTAGTAGGAAAATATGTGTGGATAAGTTCAATGTAGGGCTTATCTCCGTTGTGGAATGGTCTCTTCAATCGTTATGATAGAAATTGCATCTAATGCTTGCAAAGTTTGAAGAGCCTTTTAATCAATTGGTTATTGGTAGTCGATTTGTGGTTTTGCGTTGTTGAGGAGTCGTCCTGTTGCGTTGTTTGTCCCTATAGGACCATTAGAGAATTTAGAAGATAGTCTCCTTTTATGATTAGGATTCAAGAGAAAAGGATACAGGAAAAATTCTATACACTAAATAAATTAATAACTGTTATAATTAAATTCATAAATTTCTATAGTTTTGAGTTGGAATAATGTAAAAACTAACATAATTCGATAAGATAGTAAAATAATTATTTTTTTGAAAATATTAATGTCAAAATATGTCCCTAATAATATAAGAAATTAACCGTCCTATAAAATTGTACATATAACTAAAATTATTATATAACTTTAGTATTGTTTATATTTTCTTAACAAAATATTACTGATTTTTTTTTTTGCATTACATATTTTTGGTGTTATGTGTTCGAATTCCTAACATATATCATTTTTATTTGAGTAGTGTAAGAGTTAATATTTTTTTTTTTGTTACGATTGCAGTTACAATCTGTACTACTTAATATGTAAAGAGGAAGACTACTAAAGAACCAGTTTTTTTTTAAAACCTATAACTGTAACACATGACAATTCCAATAGAAATCCACAAATTCATGTGTAAGCTCATGTAATTAGATTTTTTTTTTCTTTACTCATTTATGTTCTTATGTTACTTTAAAAACTAGTAGCTGTCAAAAAAAAAAAAAAATTATATTTATTATATTGTTATGACTTATGAACATCAAAGTATGTAACTTTTTTTTTGTTAAAACAAAGTATGTAACTTGAGGGTTGTTGCTTGTGTAATATTTTTTTCTTCATTTCTTCTTCATCAAACAACATCTCAATTATTGTCAAAAAAAAAAAACAAAAAAAAAACATCTCAATCCAATTATTTTTGTAAATAGTTTTTTTTTTCCGCTTTTCTCTGTTCTACATATATAGTACAAGAAGGTATAATATATTTCCTAAAGATTCTTTTCAAATTTTGAATATTAATATGCTTTATATATCGAAGTCAATTCATATACCATTCTAACATATATTTCTTATGTATTATGATAAAAAAAATAATAATTTACTTTGTTTCGAGAGAATGTAATTAGTTGGCAAAAACCTGTCAATCTGATTTGATTTTTTCAAAATTTATTTTCATTAATCAAATTACTTATTTAGTACTCCTTCTGTTCCTTGAAGTTTGATGTTCTAGTGTTTTGAGTTTGTTCCACAAAGATTGATTTTCTAGATTTTTTTTTATTTTTAAATAATTGATTTTAATAAATCGTAGATTTCAAGACGTAATGATTAACTGTTTCAGATTACTATTGGTTCATAGTTTATTAAAAAATGTTTAATAAAAGTAAATAATTAAACAATGATTGTTTCTTAAGAAATGTGAAATCCCTAGAAAATCAATCTTTTAGGAACGGAGAGAGTAATATTTTGTGGATAAACTTCATATTCCAACAAAAAGGCAAAAACTTGTGGAGGTTGACTTGTCATAACATACAAATTCTATTTTTATAATTAATCTATGAAAGACTTAACCATTTTGATGAACTAAGAATTCACACCTCCTAAGGAGAAAAAGAAAAGATAATGACAAGAATAATTACTCATATTTTATTGTGTTCAGGTTTTAGTCTGGACTTTTAATTTAGGAAAACCCCGGTTATATATATGGGAAATTGTTAAAAATACCCTTTTTGGTGTGTCCCTTTTCAAAAATGCCCCTTTTAGATGTCTATTTTCAAAAATGCATCTTTTTAAATCTGAAATTTTTATAAAGTTTTATTAGGTTTATAAGGTACTTATGGATTGTAACTACTACTTGAAAGACTCGATCCAAGTATTTATAAGGTTTTATAAGGTGTTTTTAAAGGTTTTACAAGTTATTTTAAAGGATTTTAAAGGTATTTAAAATGCATTTATAAGGTATTTATAAAGTATTTATAAGATTTTAGATACATAGAAATGTAGTTTGTGTATGTTTTAATAATATTACATACATATTTGGGTAAATCTTATATTTTTAAGAGCATTTTTTATAAGGTTTTAAAAAAGGGTATTTTTGAAAAGTAGCATTGAAAAAGTGGCATTTTTGCAAAAGCCCTTATATATACCGACAGTGTAAAGTTCGTTTAAAATAAAAAATTGAGATGAAAGAAAAGAAGATAATGTAATTGCGTTCTTTAATTATCTAAAAGATGAGGCATACATGGTGGAGAAATAATGCATCTCTGTATACAAATCTGACATTAAATCTCGATAAATAATTTGATGACAAATCTTTTTTTACTTGTGCACCACTGCACACTACTTATAAATTCACAACGTTACTTTTAAACTTATATAATTTTGCGCGATCAATCTTTTCACGTGGGGAAATCAACTGATATTAAACATAAGTACGTAGCAACAGTAATCATATATAACATCATCAAACAAGAACACTTTTGTAATTAAAAGTCCATCACACAAATACATCTTACACATTTATTATTAATTTGGGATACATTATGATTACTCTCTTATTTGAACCGGCAGAATATTTGGGTGAAGTCTAGAGTCTTTTAGGCCCTGTCTTTCTGGCGGCGACCACCACTGTTTCCATTGCCATGGTTGGCCGGGGGCTTCTTTTTGTGCTCCTCGCAGTCGTGACGGTTGCAGCTCTGGTAACTTTCGGGGCATATTCCGACCCCTCTGGCGAACCCATCCACCGTTCCGATAATCGCTCCGGCAATCCCTCCGACAATCCCTCCAATAAGCTTGTCAAACATTTTGTCTAATATATATATGTTACTTCTGTTATTTTTCTTTGATATGGATGAGTGATTAAACTCTTTCAGATGTTTATATATTTATACAATTCTCGTAGTGTAGAGTCGAGTGTTCATTTAAATTCCATGATATGATCTGAATCTTATTCTTTTTTCTACCACCACCAGACCTAAAATTGAATAGACATGTTTGTTCTAATTCCGTTCGTCTTTTTAATTAAAGATCAGTCCCATTCACATGGGAAATTCCAATTCCGATTTGGCATTCATTTGGAAAATTCAACTCACAAAAATTCGTGACGTAGATGGAAAGAAGGTTGGAGAAAAAAAACAAAAGATGGAAAGAAGGTGAAAAACAAAATAAACCCATCAAAATATGCAATGAATGTGGAATAAATGGTCATATGATCAAGTAGGAAATAAAAATATTCGATAAAATAATACTAGCTAACCCATAAGATAATATTAATTTAAATCCAAAAGACAATATCAAGGAAATACTAGATCTTTGTAGTTTCTACAGCAAAAAAAAAAAAAAAAAAAATGGAATTTAAGGACATATTTTGTCTGTGAAAAAAAAAAGTTAAATTTTCTAAAACTTGATTAGATTTATTTCAATGCTTAAAAATTTTATGCTTTGTAAAGTTTCTAAAACACTTATCAATCAAACCTAATGTTTGTAGTAGTATCCTACAAACCGTTATTCAACCACCTATGTTGCTTTGACTTTTGAATGCATTGTTATTTTATTTTAATTTTTTGTTAAAAATGTAAATATTTCATTAAAAATGAAAACAGTTTAGATTTACAATAAAAAAAAATTATTGACGTATACAAATGGTTATATGGCAAAAATGATAAAAACAAGGAAACATAATTCATAAACAAATTTTCAGTCCATCCACTCAACAGAAACACAAAACTAATGAAGTTAGATGAAGTGATGACGATTTTGCTGTTCTTCCCAAATTTGATGCTCTAGACGAAGAGCGAAAGCAAATTGTAAAAGCTACCGATACACAAACACTAGAAAGCTTTCACTGAAGGGCCGAGACTGAGTACCCTACCGTTGTTATTTTATTTGTATACCTTGAATTCATCCCTTTAATTTCTGTCGCCATAAGGAATAAACTGAAGCTTGAAGGCGAGTTGCATTATGAGTGAGATGGTGTTGTTCCTAAAAGGAGATATTATCCAGCGTATATAGTGTCTTGGAAGAGAACAGAAGGCGACAGGTTTGCTTTTGACGTGAAGAAGGTCAAAAATAAGTGTTGGTGTAACTTAGTTTTTTTTTTGTTCTTTGGACCTGATTCTAATTACGTGCAATTATCTAATTATCCCGCTTAGCTACTGACTGTCAATGCTCTAAATTGCAAAAACAAAAATAAAAACTCATATTTCTACTAGGTTCAAGAATTAGTCTAGACTTTGGTTTAGGAAGACTCCAATAATCGGAAAAAAAAAACATCACGTAGGTTCGTTTGATTTGTTTAGGTAAAAGAAAACGATGTTTGATTTTCTCCTATTTCCTACTATCTTCATCTATTTCATTTTCCCCAAGAATTGCCTAATTGACAAGGCTAATATATTGAATCAAAACACAAGCCTAAGATCCGTCAAAATAAGTAAATCAGTTACTTGCTTACACCAAATCTACGAAATTCAAGCAATGGCTTAAACAAGCTATATAAAAGAATCTACAAACGAAATCCTCTTCTCATATTTTCACAGAGATAGCAAGGGGAATTTATTACTTACTAGTTTACCGGAAGAGGCGAAGCAGTTGCCGTAACAACTTTAACCAGAACCTATCTTCTTTAATCTCCGGCACAACAATGTTGCTCTCAAGCTTTAGAACATCCACTCCGCCATACTCTATACACTATCCCCACACTTCAGCAACAGTTAATACAACGTTTGATTTAAGGTTTTTTTAAATGTTAATTTCCTTAACGTTTTAAATTTTACGTCGATAAATGCAAAAATCATTTGTCTAATTATTTCGATGAACCAGAAACATTTAAGCGACATAAGTACCAACAACAACACTCCATAGTAGTGATAAGGTCAACAAACAAGAACACTTTTTATTAAAAGTCCCCTATTTGGTTTTGGTACGTACGATATTGAAACATGTCCATAACACACATATATCTTATACATTTATTATTTGGGATACATCTTATTTGGGATATATAGTCATTACTGGGTGCGGTCCAGAGTCCTTTACTCCCTGTCTTTCTGGCGGCGGCCGCCAGAGTTCTCGCAAGGCTTCACCGCACCGTCGTTACCATTGCCATGGTTGGACGGACGCGTCTTATTGTGCTCCTCGAAGACACGACCGGTGCTCTGGTAATTACTGGGCCATACTCCGACCCCTTTGGCAAACCCATCGACCGTTCCAATAATCCCTCCGGTAATCCCTCCGGCAACCCCTCCGATAAGCTTATCAAACATTTCTCTTTATATATATCTACTTGTGTTAAGTTTCTTTGATATGGATAAGTGATTTAAATCTTTGAGATGTTTCTATATATATATATATATATACAATTCTTGTAGTGTGTATGATCTAGTGTTCATTTAAATTACTGTTGGATAAGATTCCCTTTGGTATGATATGAATCGTATTCTTTTTTCTACCACCACCATACCGAAAGTTGAATAGACATGTTTCTTCTAATTCGGTTCATCTTGTTAATCAAAGATCAGGCCCATTCACATGGGAAATTCCAATTCCGAATTGGCTGAATATTGAAGGAAGCATAATAATGAAATTGGAAACTAAACCTAGTCTAGTTCTATTTATTATGTAAAATCAAGTACCTCATGTTAGTTAGCTGGCAAAAACAAGAACTAAAGTAGGTTACATCACTCAAGTGGCCTTGACCCCGTCTGGCCTGACGACTCTTCAAAATATACTAGTGATCAAACACAACCTTCTTTGTATGAGATGATCCAATTTCCCTTTCTCTCTTCCACTAGAAAGAGCTTAAAATTATATAACAGAATACGTACGTTGCCTGTCTCTCTTCTTCAAAAAGACGTAGCTTAATCCTATTTTTTCTTCCTCTCTATTCTGATTTTTATGGTTTCCGACCAAATCTCTTGGTCTAAAGCAAGAACCAATGACGAGATTAGATGGTGACCCAGCATCTCAACGAGATACTATAGTCATAGAGAAAGCTGGACTCTCTACTTCTCCTTTTTCTGGAGAGAGTCATTAATTTCTACTTCCACCATCATTTCTCATGGAAAAAATCCAATATTAAACCTAAATGAAAATGCCCAGCTACATGAATGATCGACTATTATTTAGCAAAAAATGTCAATGCTAGAATCACAATACATGTTCTCCTCGAGTCCTATGGTGCATCAATCGTTTCAAAAGTCCCACACAGTGTGGATCCAATCTAAGGAGGGTTCTTCTACCGTAGAACTTCTACGTAGCTTACACACGATCTCTTTAAGAAACCAGACCCAACAAACCCTCAAAAAGAGATATGTCGTCGTCTGTGTCAAGTAAGGTTTAGTTCCAAAAAAAGTTTCCCCCAACATTATTTTGCCCTAAAGAAAGTATACCACACCAGAGAACGGTTATTGGAAGAGAAGTTGTCAAGTTGACCAATATAGAAGCCCATGCAAAAACTAAGGGGCTTCCACAAATCCTTGTAGAACTTTATGGTTCAATATTCAACAAGGAAAAAATTAACTTTTAACACAGAAAATATAAGGAGGTGGGCCTATGGGATTACAGGATAATTGATGATATATATATTAGGACATAATGTTTCACATCGGAAGTTGGAAGGGATCCTAAGTAATATATTAGAATATGGGCTTCCAACTCAAAACCAATTGGCAATGAGTGGAGTGACCCATATCCCTTATATATTACTTAGGATCCCTTCCAACTTCCGATGTGGGACATTACCACTCATTGCTAATTGGTTTTGAGTTGGAAGCCCATATTCTAATATGGTATCAGAGCCCGATCCACACATGTCCAACCCGATCCGACCCAAAGATGGTCCAATCATCGACAAAGCCCAAAATTGATGCCGTCGATCTAAGCCCGAACATTCCGAGATTAATGGCCAAAGAGCCATCATCTCGAGGGGGCGTATTAGGACATAATGTCCCACATCGGAAGTTGGAAGGGATCATAAGTAATATATAAGGGATATGGGCCACTCCACTCATTGCCAATTGGTTTTAAGTTGGAAGCCCATATTCTAATAATATATATGCCCGTGAGCAAACATATAATCATAAACGAGAGATCATGTTGGTTATTCGATCGAACTAGATGCCTTTAATAATGGATCAAAAGGCATGTTTTGACAGCAATATTAGTAACGAACATAGGAAAATATATGTGTGGATAAGTTCAATGTAAGGTCCATCTCCTTCGTGGAATGGTCTCTTCAATCGTTACTATGGAAATTGCATCTAATTCTTACAAAGTTTGAAGAGTAGTCTCTCTCTCTTAACCAAGTGATATAGTGGACTTGTTGTTTCACGGATTCGCATTGTTCGTCTAGGCCATGAAAATAAATTCCTTAAACGTGGAACTATCCCGCTTATAGCCACTCGTCCACGCTTTAAGTGGCAATAAAACTCATATTAATACTCGGCTCAGGAATTAGTTTACACTTCGGTCTATGAAGACCTGGCCCCGATTATGTGATTATGTTTTTCAACAACCCATTCATGATCCCATTATTTAGGAAAAAAAAAAACCATTCTTCATGACATTGTAAAGTTTGAGGTTGTGGAGAAAGATCCCACATTGAAAAAATGGAAAGGACTTGAGTAGTATATAAGGGACATGGGCCTCTCCACTCATTTCTAATTAGTTTTGAGTTGGAAGCCCATGAAACTTAACATGATATCAGAACTTGAACACACGCTGACCTGTTAATTCGGCCTGGAAAGTGGGACGATCACTCCCACTAATTGATGGTCCAAAGGAAGGTTCAATTCTCTCGAGATAGGTAGAAAAACATTATCTCGAGGGAAATTGATGGATTCTGTCAAAATTAATGGCTAGAATAGTCATTATCTCGAGATGGTGTGTGGAGAAAGATCTGACATTGGAAAGATGGAATGGACTTGAGTAGTATATATATATATAAGTGACATGGGCCTCTCCACTCATTGCCAATTGGTTTTGAGTTGGAAGCCCATAAAACTTAACAAAAATAAAAGAAAACAATGTTATTGCTTTCTTTGATCATCTGAAAGATGAAGCAGTAAAATCTGATCATGCATCTCTGGCTGAATATAAATCTGAGATGATTTCAGCTACACAATACAACGTTTGATAAAAGTTTTTTCACAAATGTTATTTTTTTTTGCTACGCATGTAAATATCATTAGAAATAAACAAACAGGTTTTATAAAAGATTGTTAACCTATACAATTGAATCCTTGGCAAAAAAGTTTAAAAACAAGGCAGACAATAAAGTCATGGAGACCACTTGGGAGAGATCACCGCAGCCATAACACCATCAGCTTGCTGAATGGACGTCTACTTCTTCTTGGGGTGATGGTGTTCTTGATGTCGTGGTCTATGCTTCTGAAAATTGTTTGTGGTGAGATGGAGAGCATATTGTGCAAAACGTTGTTCCGCTTTTCCATATATGGAAAACAGAGGCATGGGTAACGAGTTTTCGGAGAATTAATGGAGCCTAATTACATATGTTAATTTCTTTACCGTTTTTTAAAACTTTGGTCGATAATTGCAAAATCATTTTTCTAATTGTTTCGATGAATAGAAACGTTAAAACGAACATTATTTTGTAGTTGTCGGTAATACACGCAAAAACAACTGATCCCTACTGAACCACTTAACTTATAAATTCACTAGTTTTTTTTTATTTTTATTTTTCTGGTGTTATATATTCATTAGGGTCTTCGTTACACGATATATAACATAACTTTTTAAACTTCATTTTGTGCAATTAATTTCGTGCAATCAATCTTTTCACGTGTGTAATCAATTCAAACAAGAAAAGTGGCCTGATAAGATCAGCTAATAATATGCATCAATTATATTAAACATAAGTAGCAACAACAACATGTACATAATAGTATAGTCACAAGGTAATCAAACAAGAACACTTTTTATGAAAAGGGCCCCTATTTGGTTTTAGTGCATTTATTTTTTGGGATACATTTATTATTTAGGATACATCATTATTACTGGGTACGGTCTTGAGTCCTTTTACTCCCTGTCTTTCTGGCGGCGGCCGCCGCAGTTCTCTGAAGGCTTCACCACTGCTGCACCGCCGTTACCATTGCCATGGTTGACGGGACGCGGCTTATTGTGATTCTCGAAGCGGCGACCGTTGCTCTGGTTATTATTGGGGCATAATCCGGCCCCTCTAGCAAACCCATCGACCGTTCCAATAATACCTCCGGCAACTCCTCCGGTAACTCCTCCGATAAGCTTATCAAGCATTTTTCTTTATATATATATATTCTTGTTTAGTTTTCTTTGATATGGATGAGTGATTACAAACTTTCAGGGTGTTTCTCTATATATACAGAATTCCTGTAGTACTATAATCTAGTGTTCATTAGAGAGTTAGTGTTTGATATGATTCCCTTTGGATATCATTCGTAATTTCATGGTATGATCATATGAATCTTATTCTTTTTTCTACCACCACCATACCGAAAGTTGAATAGACATGTTTGTTCTAATTCCGTTCGTCTTTTTAATTAGAGATCAGTCCCATTCACATAGGAAATTCCAATTTCAAATTGGCTGAATATTGGTGGAAGCGTAATAATGGAACTAGAAATTAAACCTAGTCTAGTTCTATTTATTACGGATTTTAATTTCTGATTTTATAATTCTTTTGAGTAGCGTTGTGTAACTTAGTTTTTTTTTTTTGTTCTATGTACTTTCCCAAAAGCTAGGTAACATGAGTAACGCGGCCGTGTTAGGCTATATATGGAGAACACTTGCTTATGAATGGTCTGGCGGACTTAAAGATCCAACTGACGAGAACAGATGATGACCCAACTGCACGACGAGATACTATGCCGTTTTCAAACTATAGACACAAAATTTATTAACGAAAAAAAAAAAAAAAGAACTCTCAAGGTTACTCTCAAAGCATCAACTGAATCATGAAGAGCTTTAGTATGCAAAGAAACTAAAAGAGGAAAATTATTTTGTTGTCTCCATGAACACAATGATTCAATTTATACTTTTATAAAAATGAAGAAAGAGAGTTGTTTTGAGACAACTCTCAAGGTTACAATCAAAGTTTGTATTACATAGACATTTATAGTAAATTACTTGTTTGGAACCATAAAACACATGGGCGAATTGACATTACATTGGACTTGTTAATAATACAATAGGCTTGTGTCTTTTATTCTCAAATAAAATTAAATACCGAGATAATGTAGGAAAAAGATGAAAAAAGAAGGCATGGATTACTTTCCGCTTTAGTTACCATAAGCAAATGATGATGAATTCAATTTGGATAGAAAAACACACCACTAAAACTAGCCGTCCCACATATATCAATCCAGGGAATTGAAAAGATCGAACACTTGCTATTAAAGGAAGTAGTCCAAAAATTTAGTGAACCCTGTTTAGTCGTCATAACACAGATATAACCGATATCTACTTTGAAAATCGGAGGAAGCCCATCAAATATACCAGAAAGTTGGCAAGATCTCATCAAGGAGGGGCAAGATGATGATGGTGACGATGATGATGATTTTAATGCTTAAGAAGGTATCAAATACCATTTTTTCTATTAAGTCTTTGTTTGATCTCTTCTTTCATGTTACTCGTGATACATTTGAAATCATCAGACATGTTTTAGGATCAAAGCAATGTTATAAGACCCGACCGGGACCTGCGCGCCTGTGGTCGGACCGATAACCCTATGATTTGGTCACTAAACATGTCTGGATCCAATAGTAATATTTACTAATAAAACCAACTAAATTTTGAAAGAAAAGAAACATCCAACCAATATCGCATTGACATGTGATCCGGTATTACTGGTTGAAGCGATTGTATTCGAAAATGATGATTAACTTTCTGCTTTTTAATTGTAGTTGTAACATACTGATTACAACATATTATATGTGATTCTTTAGATTTCGATGGAAACTGCACTAGAATGAAGAAAATAAGCAAAATGATAGTGGAAACAACTAATATTATTTGTCATCGGCAACTTATCTTTAGTGTTTTTTTTTTCTTTTGGTTAAATTTGAATATAGAATGTTCAACTATAAAATAATTCTTCTTAGAGATCATAAAATATGTATTGAATATTTTTACTTATATACATACTCCATCCGTATCACTTTAAGTGATGTTTTACAAAAAAAAATATTTTGTTTCATTTTAAGCGGAGTTCAACTTTCTATGTAAAAATTAAATGTATTAAATATTTTTTTATCAATTAAAGAAGAAGGAACCGAGAAGAAAGTATCAGCAACAACATGTTTTATTATGGGACAACTCATGATATTCATATCTTTTACAATATAGTTTATTATTGGTTGAATTAGTTGTAGTTAATGATTTTTAACGTTAAAAGGTAGATTAAATGATATTTGTGATTTTGTAATCTGTGTGTAAAAATCTTAAACTTCACTCGAAATGAAACAAAGAGAGTATTATGTTATATAAATTTTTCTTTGATCGATTGAGTTACGGTCGATCTAGGTCAACCCTAACAGCCGGATAACTCGGACGATAGTTCGGTTCGTTGCCATGTTGGGTAAAAAGACATTGGATCTGGCTGAATTGGATACCTTTTTATCTTATCTTCTTTGTTATTCCAGGTTGGGCCAAACATTCTTGGAAGATTAAATCTAGAGACGCACATGTCTATTCTTGTATAACTGTACGGTTCCATATATATCCAACAAGTAGAAAGAAAAATAACTTTTGAAAATATAAAGAAGTGGGCCAATGGGTTTAGAGGAGAGTTGCTAAGGTATATATGCCCATATGAACAAACAGAAAACGAACGGTAAACGAGAACTACTGTTGGTTATTCAATCGAACTAGATGCCTTTAATAATTTATTAAGTGGCGTGTTTTAACCGCAACATTAGTATAAAGAACATATGAAAATATGGGTGGATAAGATCAATGTAAGGTCCATCTCCGTTGTGGAATGGTCTCTTCAATCGTTATGATGGAAATTGCATGCTTGCAAAGTTTAGAGTGTCTCTCTTAACCAAGTGGTAGTGGAGTTATAGTTTTGTTGGTCTAAACCAGAAAAAAAAATTCGCCTCAAACGTGAAATTATAGTAACTAGCTTGCTTAGCCATCCGTCAACCCCTTCAATGGCAATAAAATTCATATTTTTATTGGACTCAGGAATTAGTCTAGACACTGTTGGCAGTCTAAAGTGAATTTAGCTTTTCATTTTGTTTTTATTAGGTTTAGTATTTCTAAAATGCTATGGTATAGTAATTAAATTTTGAGTACCATCTTTAATAGCAGTTACAAAAACTGCGCTATCGTATTATGTTATCAATGCTCATATTTCTTGTAGTGAGATTTGGTCTATAATAAAGATCCCGGATATTGAAAAGTATTAAAAAAATTATTGACAATGTAAAGTTCATTTTAAAACAGATTTTTTTGAGGTAAAAGAAGACAATTAATGTTATTGATTTCTTTGATCATCTGAAAAATGAAGCAATGAAATCATACATGCAGGAGGAATCATATATCTTTGTATACAAATCTGACTTTAATTATTCAATGACAATTTTTTTACTAGATATATATATGATTATGATAGTAATATGTTTTATATATTTTAGTTAAGAATATAGAGAATTTAGTTGTCAGAGTTATCAAACTCTTGTATACATAAGATATTTAGGTTTATTCAATTATTCCAATATCAATAGATAGGTTTATTCAATTATTCCAATATCAATAGATAGGTTTTTCTTTTAAAAAGACGATTTCAGAGATATCAACAAAATCCGATGATGAATTCATCTTCGTTTTATCGTCGACGATTTACATACACAATTCAACGTTTGATAAAAGTTTTTCTTGTTTTTGTTCAACGATAAAAGTTGTTAAAAACTATTAATTTCGTTACCGTTTGAATTTTTGGTCTATAATTGCAAAAGGCATTTGTCTTATTGTTTCGGTAAACCAGAAACATTAAAACGAACATGATTTTGTAGTTGTTGCTGTTAACAAATAATTTACCCTATACATGTCGTTTGTTGCTGATACCAGTGACACATAAAGTTAACTTATAATATAAAATTTACAATGGTTTTTGTAACACCACAATGTTACTTTTAAACCCTTTTTTTGTTACTTTTAAACTTAATTTTCTGCAATCAATCTTTTCAGGTGGGAAAATCAACTGATAATATACATCACTTTTATCAAACATAAGCAACAACAAGAACACTCTTTAGTAATCATAAGGTCATCATACGAAAGCACTTCTTTTTGGGTTAAAAGTCCCCTATTTAGTTTTGGTACGATACAGAAACATGACCATATATATCACACACATACATCTTATACATTTATTACTTGGGATACATAATCATTATTTTCTTACTTGAACCGGCAGAGTATCTAGGTGGAGTCTAGAGTCCCTCACTCCCCCACCCGAGTTTGCGGCGCCCGCTGCTTTTGCTGACCTGCCAATTTTCAGTAGCTTTCACCACTACTGCATGGCTGTACCCGCTGTCGTGGTTTGGGTTCATGTACACATGACGAGGTGGAACTTGGTGAGCCATTAGCCTGTCTTGTTGCTTCATCCATTGGCCGTTGTAGTCCTGCATCCCATGCCCGCCTTCGTGCTGAATCACATGCATGTCGTGGTGCTGCATCCCCTGCCCGCCATGGTATGCAACTTCATGCTGCCCCTGCCACCCATTACCTATCTTTCCCATCTTTCCCTGCAAAATGATCATTAAGCAAATTAAAAAATATAAACTGATATGATGACAATTGGCAAGGAACGTCTCAAAAGGTTCTATATAATACTAAATATTGGTGCTTCTTTTATACTATGAGTTTTTGTTAAAATAGAAAAAGCACAACCTTTTTCCTAAAAATTAGCTTCAAAACCCTGTGGTCTGAAGGTGGAAGCTATGGCTTCATCTGCCTATGCTTTTTAAAAAAGTCTGACTATTGGTGTATTTACAAATGACTTTTGATTCTAAATTAAAACTGTTTATATAATATTTTTTTAATGAGTTCCCCCAAAGAATCAGCCTTTAAATATTCTGATTTAAATTTTTAGAAAAAAAACTCCTTTGGTAACAAAGAGGGTTTGAATTTGGGGGCACAAGAGAACCTACCCGCTTTTACCACTAGGTCACTAGCACCTCTTTCGTCTGTGTATGGTTTTTTGATGTGTATATATATAAATCATCAACTGTTTTATTTAGCAAAATTTTAGCATCAGTTGTTTCAGGACTCAAAGCAGTTTAAGATACCTTATATAGATATATATCCTTAAGACACCAAAAGAGATAACTTACGTTGTGGTGAGGCTGGGTCTGGTAGTGGTAGTTGTTGTTGTTGGTTGCTGGTGGTGGGGGTCTGTAGTTGAGATGAAGTGGTTGTTGGTGGTGGTTGCTGCTGTGGTGAGGCAACGTCGCAGTAGTGTGGTGGCTCCGGCTGCTCTCAAAGAACTCCTCCACATCTGAGTCTGAGTCTTCTTCATCGCAGACAGGCATGTGAGCCATGGGTGGACGGCCATGGTTGGCCGGAAGCCTCATCCGGGCTTGATGGTCATAGTTTATGGCTTACACTATTCTACTTCTAATGATTACAAGCTTGTTGGATATAGCGATAGCGATTGGGGTGGAGACATAGATGACCGAAAAAGCACAAGTGGTTTCGTGTTTTATATTGGAGATACGGCTTTCACATGGATGTCGAAGAAGCAACCGATTGTCACTCTATCCACTTGTGAAGCGGAGTATGTAGCGGCTACTTCATGTGTGTGCCATACTATTTGGTTAAGAAATCTTTTAAAGGAGTTAAGCTTACCACAAGATGAACCAACGAAGATATTTGTGGATAACAAGTCGGCAATAGCATTGGCGAAGAACCCGGTCTTCCATGATCGAAGTAAACACATTGACACACGCTATCACTACATTAGAGAGTGTGTTAACAAGAAGAACGTGCTATTGGAGTATGTGAAGACACATGACCAAGTAGCCGATATTTTCACCAAGCCTCTCAAGCGCGAAGATTTGATCAAGATGATGAGTTTGCTTGGAGTAACAAAATCAAGTTTAAGAGGGGGTGTTGAAAGTTAAACTTGATTTTGAATCAAGTTTAATTATTGGGTTAATTACCCAATAATCATTTGATGGGCCAAATCCAAGTTCTAGAGTTTTCTCTACAAATATCATCATCTCCACCTCCTTAAAAAGTTCTAGAAATTCTCTAGAATGATCTTCCATCACCTCCTTAAACATAATAATCTAGATATTTTTATAGAATAATCTAGATAATTGTATTATTATAATCTAGATATTATGATGGAATAATCTAGATTTAGAATTAAAATATTTTAGATATTTTGTAGTTTGGAGGCTATAAATACCACCTCCCTCTCTCATTTGTAGTAAGATTGTGAAGTTGTCTTCAAGTTAAAATCAAAGTAATAAAAATTTTATTTCCTAAAACTCTCTTTCAAACACTTAAACACTTTCTCCATTACTTCTAAAAGAATTTTACTCGAACAGAGTAGACATATTTATTCTGATTCTGTTGGTCTTAATTAATGATTAGTCCAATTCACGTGGAAAATTTGAATTCTTCATTGACTAAATATATTGATGGAAGCATAATATATAATCTTCAATTCATCTTCTTACCACGTACACGTTACCTAGAGTTCGTGAAGCAATATGTTTTATATATTTTAATTAAGAGTAGAGAGTTTAGATTTCAGAGTTTTGAAACTCTTGTGCACATATATAATTAAGATATTTAGATTTTGTGGTTTATTCAACTTTTTCAATATCAATTGATAAATGTAGAAAAAATTTTGTATATTTTAATTTTCTTTGATATTTCGTTATAGGAATATAAGAAAACGATTTCAGAAATATTAACAAAATGAATTCATCTTCGTTCTGTCGTCGACGATTTCACCAACACAATTAAACGATTAATAAAAGTTGTAAACTGTTAATTTCTGTACCGTTCTGAAGTTTTGGTCTATAATTGCAAAAAAACATTTGTCTAATTGTTTGATGAACCGGAAACATTGAAACGAACATGATTTTGTAGTTGGTTCCTGTTAACAAACAATATACTAGATACATGTCGTTCGTTGCTAATACCAATGACACATGAACGACATATCCTACTGCACTACTTAACTTATAAATTCACTAGGATTTTTGTTACGCCACAATGTTACTTTTAACTTAAATTTGTGCAATATAATCACTCCTTCCAGGAGGGGAAATCAACTGATAATATACATCACTTTTATTAAACATAAGCAGCAACAACAACACTCCTTAGTAATTATTATGTCATCAAACAGAAGCACCTTTTAGGGGTTTAAAGTCCCCTATTTAGTTTTGATAAGATAGAGAAATCCATCACACACATACATCTTATAAATGTATTATTTGGGATACATAATCATTACTTTCTTACTTGAACCGGCATAGTATTTAGGTGGAGTCTAGAGTCCCTTACTCCCCCACCCGAGTTTCTGGCCGCTGCTTTTGCTCACCCGCCAATTCTCAGTAGCCTTCACCACTACTCCGCCTTGGTGCTGCATCCCGTGCCCGCCCTGGTGTTGTAGTCCGTGCCCCCTCTGGTGTTGCAGTCCGTGCCCGCCCTGATGCTGCATTCCGTGCCCATCCTGGTGCTTCATCTCGTGCCCGCCCTGGTGCTGCCTTCCGTGCCCGCCCTGGTGCTGCAGTCTGTGCCCGCTCTGGTGCTTCATCTCGTGCCCGACCTGGTGCTGCATTCCGTGCCCCCCTTGGTGCTGCATTCCGTGCCCACCCTGGTGCTTCATTCTGTGCTCCCCTTGGTGCTGCATCCCGTGCCCGCCTTGATGCTGCAACCCGTGCTCTCCTTGGTGTTGCATTCCATGCTCGCCCTGGTGCTGCATCCCATGTATGTTGTGGTGTTGCATCCCGTGTCCGCCATGGTGTTGCATCCCATGTCCACCGTGGTGCTGCATCCCGTGCCCTCCATGGAATGCATCTTCATGTTGTCCCAGCATTCCATTACCCATCTTCCCCTGCAAAATGATCATTAAGAAAATTGAAAACATACATATTAAACTGATAGGATGACAATTGGCAAAGAACGTCTCAAAAGGTTCTATAAAATTGGTGCTTCTTTTGTACTATAGTTTATTGTTATTTTTTTTTAATTTAAGTTTATTGTTATTATAGAACAAAAAGCACAACCTTTTTCCTAAAATTTAGCTTCAAAACCCAAGTGGCCTGATGCTCTAAGCTATGGTTTCCTTTGCCTATACTCTAGGAAAAGTCTCACTAACGGTTTATTACACATTACTTTTGATTTTAGGCAAATATCAGTATCTATGCTCAGAAGACCAAAGAATTAAGTCTGTATGCATGCTTTTTTATTAATTAAGTGAGCAAGAGAGAGAATAATGTTTTTACCATTTTACCCTTTTTCTAAACACTTGATTATTTGTCTCTCTTCCAAATCCTTCTCTTTCCAAATCATCTTCTTTCTTCATCGTCACTTCCATTTTTTTCAAACAGATTTTATATCCAATTCTCCATTTGGTTAATAAAATTCATTGTTTTTATATGTAACACACAATTATCACCAAACGATTCATAAAAATAGAGAGAACTTACATGAGTTTAGATGGATTAAACTTTTAATTTGAAGAATTTTGGGATGAAAATTATAGTTTTGTAATTTAAAGTGAAGATGGAGAGGACGAAGATAAAGGAAATTTGCAGGTGAACATGGGTTGGAGTTGCAGGTGACAATGAAAGAAGAAAAAAATTTGGAAGAATGACGACAGAGGAGGATACCCGAGAAGAATGAAATTTTATTGTTTTTTACGTCCACGATAACACATAAGTTAACCGTGATAAACAAGTTATAACGATAAATAAATATGCTAATGCATAAGTTAACGATGCTAATGCATAAGTTAACGGTAATAAATAAATTGTTGAAATAAATAAACATGTCAATATATAAGTTAATTGATATCAATCAGATAATAAATAATTTAACATGATAAATATAAATTTATCATATAACTTGAAAAGTTATAGCGATACAATCTGATTTATATTGTTAATCAAATAAATAATCAGCAAAATCATTATCTTTTTATTTTATCTCGTGATGAATAGTATTTTTGATGTTGGCCGAACAGTGTTTTAGTTTTTATTTATCGCGATACAATTTGATTTACATTGTTAATCAAATAGATAACTACAAAAATCATTGTTTCCTTATTGATTCCGATGATAGATAGTGTTTCCGATAACAAATGAACAATGTTATTTTTACTGTTAACACTAAATTATTTATCTTGTTATTATTTTTGTTAGCATTTAATTCTAACAAAAGGTAGTTTTGGTATTAATTAAATCAGAGGAAAGTGAACTAATAAAAAAATAAGTATGGATAGATTTTTAATTTTGCAATCCTCCATGCATATCAATTAATATAGCCCTTGATTTTATATAATATTATTTTCTTAAAACGATAGGAGTTCCGGACTTGGCTCATAAATCCATAATCCCCTTCTCTCTACGAAAGAGTGTTAGAACTTAGGGCACAAAAAACCAACTCCCTTTTATCACCACCTCTTTAATCTGTTTATATAATTTTGTTTTTTGATGTGTATAATACAAATCAGAATCAATTGTTTTATTTGGCAAAATTTTAGCACCAATTTTCAGGACTTAATTTTTTTTTTAAATACCTTTAGGCTACCTCCATTAGTGGTCTCTAAAGTTATATCTAAAGATTAAAATATTAGAAAATAAAGAAAAATAATGAAAGAGAAAAAGCAACATCTCTGTTTGAGAAACAATACTAGTATGGTGCTAATGAGAGACTCTTCAGCTTACATGTTATATTTCATGTGGTCCAATATTTTTAAAAAATTAATCATTAATATTTCAGTTTTAAGAAACTCTCCTGAGACAATGGAGATGCTCTTACATAGAAATATATCTAACTAACAGACCATAACATGATTAGTAAGGTCAAAACACCAAAAGAGATAACTTACATTATGGTGAGGCTGAGTCACTGGAGGTGGAGGCCTGAAGTTCAGATGAAGTGGTTGCGGCAACGCAGTAGTGTGGTGGGTCCGGCTTCTCTCGAAGAACTCCTCCACATCTGAGTCTGAGTCTTCTTCATCGCAGACAGGCATGTGAGCCATGGGTGGACGGCCATGGTTGGCCGGAAGCCTCATGCGGGCTTGATGGTCAAAGAAGCTTCCTTCTGACTCCATATGAGTCACAAACTCCTTGTGCTCCTCGAACCCGAAGCCGCGGCTTCTCCCGTGTCTGTGCCCGAACCCTCTGGTAAGCTTATCAAGCATTTTTCTTTAAATATATACTTGTGTTAGTTTTCTTTGATAGGGATAAGTAATTAAAATCTTTCAGGTGTTTTAATATATACAATTCTTGTACTGTAGTATGACACCATATTGCAATTATTTGTAATGGGATTTGAATCTTATTCTCTTTTCTACCACCACCATACCGAAAGTTGAGTAGACATATTTATTCTGATTCCGTTCTTCTTAATTAATGATTAGTCCAATTCACGTGGAAAATTCGAATTCTTAATTACTGAATATCGATGGAGGCATATTATATGATCTAGTTTAGTTCTACTACGGTTTTAATTTTGGTTTTATTATGTATTGATATCAAATCTGTTTGGGGTAAAACTGTTATTTCATTTTTGAGTGTATCACTTAATTATTATGTGTAATTGAGTTTATGTAAATTAAACCATGTAGCGTCAAAAACTTGTCTTTTAGTTTTTGACCTTTGGACTAGTTCTAAAGGTGTTTAGGCATAATCCTATGTGTACGGCCGCTTCTACTTGTGCTCCACGAACTCTAGGTAATGTGGACATGCTACGTGGTAAGATGAACACTTTCTTATGAGTTATGAATGGTCTGATGGACTCAAGACGTCAAAAAGTTTCGCAGGCATTGACGATTGCATAGTCCCTTCAATCTTCATCAAGTCCATTCATCATGACTCGAGACATGGATACTTACAAGGGGGCAAGGTACTCACGAATTAAGAGACATTTATGTTTGAAATCTCTATTTAGGTTAATTAATGTTATTTCCTTTGCATGTACCTTGAACAAATAAATTCAATTCAAGTAACTCGCCATATAAGATAAAAACCATAAAACTAACAAATATAGACTCTCCAAACAATCATCTTCATCACCATGTACCTCATGATTCACTTGTCGACCAACCCAACAGAAATGAGAACTTAAGTATGTGGCAACGCTCAAATGCATCGGAGCCCTGCAACATGACTCTTGACCTTTATAAATGCATGCAAAGTATTGTTATTGAGTTCATGATCATTAAATTCATTATTGTTTTCTTTTTGTCATTTTTCTCAAATTTTCTAAGAACATAGAGCTTAAAGTAAGCATATATATATAGTATATGGGTATATTAATATAGGCAGTAGAAAAAACATGTAGTATATAGATGATAGATTGTGTTCGTGGAATGGTTTTCGGATTTGTTACAGCTAAGAGAAGACATTCATCAGTCATATAATGAATGAACGGTCCAAATATTCAAATAATAAAACGGAAGGAGAATAACATCTAGTATTAATTTTTTTTTTTTTTTTTGGACAAAACATCTAGTATTCATAAATCATGTTCTTTATATAGTAAATCATGTTGTGGACACAAATATACTTATAACATGTATTCATTTTTCGTCGACAAAAACAAAACATGTTTCTGAAAGATATCAATCATTTGCAGCTAAACACTAAAAGTCGGTTTTGATAAAATCAATCGATACTCTTTTTTTTTTTTTTCCAATAAAGAATCAATCAATACTTCGTTAATTAAATATTTGTATCATCTTCTCTTATACTTTTTTTTTTTTTTTTCTTCTCATCTTCTCTTATACTATAATTTAATTTCCGCATACTCTTTCCAATAACATAGCCATGTGACACTGGCCGGTGTCTGGTACTTAATGTTCATTTTTGTATAGTTTTATCAATAGAAAATACATTGGCGTATTTTGTTAATTGGCTTGCTAGTCGTGCAAGCATATGCTTTCAGCTATAACGTGGACTATACCACACCATCTTCGATTGATGCCGAATAACAAAACTTGTCTTAGAAAAAAAACCCCAAAGAGATAAAAATATAATAAATTAAATTGTATATGTACACGAAAGTAACCAATAAAATCGACCATGAACTCTTTCAAAAAAAAATTCACCAAAGAATTAATAATCATGAGTTAGTAGTAGTGTTCCATATCATATTAGTTACAATAGCCAATTCATTCCTCATCTCTCAAGCAGTTCCCCGGAAGAAGAAACTTGTACTTCTCTGCATTCTCCAGTAGGTATGCGGGAAGATGAACCGCGGAATAAGAATGCGGGATCGGACCCATTTTACCGATAATGTCTTTAAACGTGTATTCCTCGGGAATCATGTCGAAGAGATCCGCTCCGCTGCATATAACTCTTTGAACCCTTTTCGGGTTCAAGTAATGTGCGAATCTCACTCTATCGTAGTGACTATAAGCTTTCATTTTGAACACAAACTCGCTTATCCGTCTGAAACAGAAGCTGCAATGCCACCCTGAATCCGACAAGATCACATCAGACTGTCTATAGTGCGCATACCTCGTTTTACCCGTCTGGTATCTATGAACTGATGCTCTCCAACTCTTATCATCGACCGGGAACTCAAACGAGTACAAGTAATTCTTCAGTCTAAGATGAAGGATTTTCGGTATGTCATCGCACCAACGGAGAAGATTTATCGTATGTCTGCTTGGAATCTCATCAACATCAGACATAATAAGCAAGTCATCATCGGTAATACCCGCAATTCTCAAAAGCTGATCCAGTGCGATTCTCTGATAGGCCTCTTCGTAAAAAGGATTCTTCTCTCCTTTCTTAAACCTTCCTCCTATCGACCCGTAAGTCAACCGTGGCTCAATAAACTTAAACTCATCCCTATGCCCCGCGAAAACAAGCGGTTTAGGTAATCCGGTGAAAGTCGAGTTAGATTCAAGCAGAACAAACTGAGTAACATATGGATACAGTTCTTTCCACCGTATCGTGAGAAGTTCAACTTCAGTACTAAACAAAACAGCGTCGTAGACACGACGAGGGTACTCACGTATTCCCCAGCCATGGAGTTTACAAAGAGATTCCATAGAAGCGTTCTCGTGGTGATAATGCGGTATCTCATGGAATGGTTTTGGTGGTGATTCCCATAAAGGTCTCAAGAAATATGAAATCTTGAGGGCGTTAATGTATACACCAAGAACACACATTGGTACGATTACTAAAAGAAACAGAATCGATTTTAAATCAACACCACGCAAGATACAACAGAGTCTTGAGATACCAAAGCCTCGATCTGATTCCTGATTCCAAACCAAAGAGAAAAAAATGTCAATTCTTGAAACCAATCATCGCTGACTAAAAAACCAAACAAGAGATATTGACCAATCTAAGCAAGTACAGAGAGATCAATCTAATTCAAGATTCCACAAGATCTATAATTTAGATCGAGAGTAGAAACCAAAAGGGTTCTTTGAGCATTGACTAAAGATCTTGTTTTTTTTTTTCAAGAAGAACAAAAATCACAAACCTGAGTTCCGCATAAATCATCGGACTTTTTAGAACAGTAGTGACCACCGTTTTCTCCCATCATCCACCACATCTTTCTTCGAACAAGAACTCGATTTGAGATATAAAGAACCAAACTTTACCACAAAAAAAAACAGAATCTTTAGAGGTTGGTTCAACAAGAGATACAATAAACAACACCCCAAAAAAGGGGAGATTTTTGAAAGAATTAAAGAATAAACAGAGCAAAAAAACAGAGTTTTTTTTTTTATGTGATTGTGTTTTGTTTGTGTGTATGAAGTTTGTGAGAGAGGTGGGTGATGATGAATGGATTTTGTTGTCTTGAGGAACTAACTAACAAGAGAGAAAAGGGTAATTAGGTCAATGAAGAAAGTTTCAACGTAAGTTCCGTTGCTTGGCTTGATTGATGAAGTATTATCATTCTCTCTACACCACGCGTTGTGTGACTCAGTCCCCCACTTCCAGCTTTTGTCGTGTCTTTTTTTTTTTTTTATAAGTTGAAAAAGCTCAGAATCACTTATGTACTCTTTCTTCTCTCTTCAACAACCACGTGGCTTCCACTGTAAAATATACACATCTCTAATTAATCTTAAACTTTCACAATCTGTATATAATATACTCTTCTGATGTCAACAGTTTTATAAGCTAAGTATTCATATTAGGGAAAAAGTCTTGAAAAGTACTATGTAATTGTTTGCATAAAGTTCTGAAAAGAAGTACCCACCAAGTTTGAGACCTAGAAAAATGCGTATCTGACACTTTTGTAAGGTTAGATTAAATTACACATCTATACTAGTATAATCGCAGCACTTTTTGTGACGGGTGGGTAAAAAATCTTTCGGATATATCGGATATCCGACCCATTTTAAAAATTTCTTCACAAAAAATTTGTTGGGTCGGGTTATATTTAACCCAACTCATACACCGGATATTCCATATTTAATAATTTAGATTTTTAGAAGATTTGATTAAGATTTATAATTATGATTCTCTTATCATTTTTGTTTGATTTGTTTTAACTGTTTTGAATCATCATATAATACATAAAGTAAAAAAAAAAATCAATTTTTTTTCTGCATATACTGTGATTCGAAATTTTAAAAACGGACATATATTATCCAATTGACGAAAATGTGTGTTCAACGTTCTACATCGATTAAAATATTTAGACAATGATTCAGAATCATATCATAAATAAGAACATTAATAAAATAAATGAGTTTTTTGGCGGGATGGGTTTGGCGGGACGGGTTTTTGATCAACAATAATAAAAAGATTAAAATATCATTAATCCGCCGCTTCAATACGGATTTAATCCTTATTTTTTTAATACAAATCACAGGACGGGTTAAGAAATTACGGAACGGGTTATATTTCGGAAATGATTTATATGGCGGACGAATTTGAATCAATATTTATATACCGCTTTAATACGGGTTAAATCCTTAGTTTATTAATAATTATCTCGTGGACTCGTGGTATACTGTTACTTAATAACAATTATAAACTATAATATAAATAAATATGTTATAAGGAGATACAATTTACAAAATATTTTTATACTAACTTTAAAATTAAATCATCCCGCGGTGTACCGCGGGTTAAAATCTAGTGTATATTATGAAAATTCTTTATTATGTTCTTTATGGTTCAATTTGTTGGTTTTATTTATTGATTTTTTTTTCTTTCTAAAAATGATACAACCCAAAAAAAAAAAAAATTAAAAGCCCAAAAGGCCCAATACCAAATGGTTTAACATAGGTTTGCTGGACTAACAAAACCTTCATAGGTTTGCTGGACTAACAAAAGTTACAAAACCTATCCGAAGGAGGAGAAATTCCGGCAAAATGATCGGAGAAGTCGAGGAGCGACAACCGCACATGTTCCCTCATCGACCCACCCAATAGCCGGCAGTTGCTCCCTCTTCTATGTTATTTGAGCAATACTTCGTTTGCTTTGATGGTTAAGACTTAGGAGTAACCAATGGTGCGTTCGGCTAGTGGTTTAAGTACAGGGGTTGGACACATGTACTTTCTAGTTCGATTTCGGTGGGAAGAATGCTTTACGCCATGGAAAGATTAAGGTTTAAGGTTTAGGCCCAACCCCCTCCTAGAAAAACTTATGAATAAACAATTTGTTTAATTTGTGTCTTTTTATTAAATTATGTGTCATAAACTCATAATAAAATAAAATTTCTGCAAGTAGGATTCAAAATTACTACCAATCAATAAACAACAAACCGTTCTCTACCACTTGTGTTTCTCCATATATCTATATTATTATACTTGGTCAATTCCATAAATTTGTATCACTCAGGTGTTATTGAACACAAGTTGATTAAAAAAAAAAAACAAGTTGAAAGAACAGAGAAAAATAAGCAAAAGTATTAAAAACGAAAAAAAAATAAAAAAAAAAATTGTAAGAACAAAATGAAAACGCTAAAATCAGAAATAAAAGAATCAAAGAAGCAAAGATAAGCAAAACAAGTTTTCCTAAATTGTTTGACTCCTTAAAGAAACTCTACACAAAAACCTTTCTTCAAAAATTCTCAGATTCTTCCACGATTTGCTTAATCTCCCTTCGAGCTTTCACAGTTGATTCAGCTTCCTACAATTTCCGATTTCAAACTCAATCACCTTCAGATTCCGATCTCCATTCACTACCAAGCACAATGGAGAATCCACCAGCAGAGAAGCTATTGAAGAAGATAAAAGAGCTAGAAGAAAGCCAAGAAGATCTAAAGCGAGAGATGTCGAAACTCAAAGTATCGGCGGAGATTAAAAGGCGTTCGCATTCTTCATCACCTAAACGACCTTCGAGGAGAAACAATGGAGACGGAACTCCGTTATGGAGAAAAAGCGGCGCCGCATCGTTCCGTCACGCTTCTCCTTTACGGAAAGAGGGAGCTGGTGGTGGTGAAGGACCATCGGCAGGCAAGTTCACCGATAAACAGTATTTGAATATTTTGCAGTCTATGGCTCAAGCTGTTCATGTCTTCGATCTAAATGGCCAAATTATCTTTTGGTGAGTAGGTAGATTTTTTTGTGGAATCCTCCATTGTTTCTTCCTTTTTCGGAATCGATAATGAGTAGTCAAATGCTAGGATTGTGAAATGGATTCATATAGAAAGGAGATGTGTGAGTTTGTGGATAGATTTAGAGTATAGTGTAGACTCTAGTTACCTGATATGTTCAGATTCAGAATCGATATATTAGAGAGTGTTGGTATCGTTTTTAGTATAGGATCTAGCATCTGATATGTCAGCCAAGTTATGTACAGTGTTCAAATTTGTTGGAATGGTTGTTATAGGAACTCGATGGCGGAGAAGCTTTATGGATTCTCAGCTGCGGAAGCGTTAGGGAAGGACTCGATTAATATACTTGTAGATGGTCAGGATGCTGCTGTTGCACAGAATATCTTTCAGCGTTGCAGCAGTGGAGAGAGTTGGACTGGAGAGTTTCCTGTCAAGAACAAAGCAGGAGAGAGATTTTCGGTTGTGACCACAATTTCTCCTTTTTATGATGATACTGATTCTCTTATTGGGATTATATGTATCACGAACGATTCGGCACTCTTTCAACGCCCGAGAGTTCCTCTAGCTAAAACAAGGGGGCAAGAAGGGGAAACTAGCTTTAGCCGGGGGACGAATGGTGTTGCATCTAGGCTTGGTATTGATTCCAAAGAGGCTGTTGTGTCGAAACTTGGCCTTGATTCTCAGCAGCCTATTCAAGTTGCTATAGCATCTAAGATATCAGATTTGGTGAGTCCAATTGTATGTTATAAATTCTCACCTTTTGTTATATTGTTGCATCTTTTGACTAGTGTAGTCCAAATTTCAGGCATCCAAGGTGGGCAACAAGGTCAGGTCGAAAATGCGAGCAGGGGATAATAACGCCTCACACCCTGAGGGTGGAAATGGGGGCAGTCATCAGTCTGATCAGGGTTTTTTCGATGCTGCTTTCTCTGACCAGAGGGAGGATGCAGAAACAAGTGGTGCTAGCACACCTAGGGGGAATCTGATCCAGTCTCCTTTTGGTGTGTTCTTATGTAACGATGAGAAATCTTCTTCGAAATCCTCCAGAGAATCCAATGATGAAAATGATGGAAACTCTGTTATCCCTAAGACACTTACCTCAAAAACTGAAGAGTGGATGGTAAAGAAAGGACTGCCATGGCCATGGAAAGGGAATGAACGGGAAGGTTTGGAAAGAAGGAATGCTCATTCTGTGTGGCCTTGGGTGCAGAATGAACAACAGAAAGAAGAGGCTCATCATACCAATTCCTATAATAATGTTAAGTCTGAAAGCCAGGCAAGTGAAAGTAATAAACCTGCCAATAACGAGAATATGGGTTCTATTAATGTGAATAGCGCAAGCAGTGCTAGCAGCTGTGGAAGTACCAGCAGCAGTGTTATGAACAAGGTCGATATGGATAGCGACTGCTTGGACTACGAAATCTTATGGGAAGATTTGACAATTGGAGAGCAAATCGGGCAAGGTGATATACTCCTTTGAGAAAGATGAATTCTTTTGTGAAAGACATTTCTAGACATCATATAATTTTCTCTGGTTTTCTTCTCTCTGTTCTGCTAACATGCTATAATTTTCCCTCTTTATACATACAGGTTCATGTGGAACTGTCTATCATGGTCTATGGTTTGGATCTGTACGTTCTTGTCATATCTTGACATTGAAGAATATGCATCATCGATGTTTACAAGCCTCCATGAAATTCACGAACTTAAAAAAAACTATTACTGAGAGTTGCTAATGTCAGTGCAGGATGTGGCTGTTAAGGTGTTTTCCAAACAAGAATATTCAGAAGAGATCATAACATCTTTTAAACAAGAGGTATTATTGTTTTCTGTCGCTTCTCTAAGCATGATTAGTAAAAGTTATTTATATCAGAAAAAAAACAAAAAAAATAACTGTTAAAATTTTTATTTGTTTTATGAGTAATACCTGCCTTCTGTCTTCCATGTTTTCTTATGTCAAAATCTTTCCGAAACTACCACAATTTTTCTGTACGAAATCTTTTTCCAAACTGCATCTACACCGAAAACTTACTCATTACAGAGATTAGCCTAGCCTAGCTACTCATTCTAGTTTGGTAATACCTATGCTGGAATTGTTTTATCTTGAAGGTATCGTTGATGAAAAGACTTAGACATCCAAACGTTCTGCTGTTTATGGGAGCTGTGGCATCACCTCAGCGTCTTTGTATAGTGACAGAGTTTCTTCCACGGTTCGGCCCTTCTCTTTGGCTAATACTATATTTCATTTCGGGATGTATGTCCTCCGGGGCCAAAACTCTGACTCACACTCTAAAGTCTAAATCTTTTGAATTAATATTTGTAGTGGAAGTCTCTTTCGTTTGCTGCAAAGGAACAAGTCAAAACTGGATTTGAGACGACGTATCCATATGGCCTCAGACATTGTGAGTATTACACTTGATTTCCCAGTTGTGT